CTTTGTTTTGCCCTCTGTTGCTGTGAGTTGCAGGTCCAACAGACTTTCTTTGCCGACCGGCAGTGTAAGGTGTCGGCCGGCAATCTTTTCCTCAGGATTTCCGAACTTGACCGTTTAGTGTCTGGTTTTGCACCAAACACTTGCATCTTGCCTTTGAGAGGCAGGGTAGGGCTTGTAGACCATCCCTACCCACCACCGGCAGTGGCTAGATGCCACCTGCTGGTTTTTGCTGCCACCGGCAATGTAGTTTGCCGGCCGGCACTCTCTGTTGCCGGTCAGCACTATTTGTTGCCGACCGGCACTCCTTTTGGCCAAGATAGCATTTTTGGCCGGCTGATTGCTGTTCATCTGCTTTTGCAGATATTTTTAGACACCTGTCTTGCTATTGCATCCCTCCATACACGTGTATGGAGGGATCCCCCTCTTGTAAAGCTTGTCTTGTAAGCTTTACAAGACAATATAGAGAGAAGCTCTCTCTAAGGCAAAAGGAGAGGCTTGGTTAGAGACTTAGGATATTTTTGAGAGCAAGAACAGACATTGTTAGGGTTTGAGTTCTAGGGTTAGAGTTAGATACACACTCTATCTCTCTTTCCATCTCTTTTGTTCACTAGGTGCTTTGTGTCTTACTATTGCACACAAACACCTAGTGTTTCACCTTCCTCTTGAAACTAGGGTTCTAAAGGCTTGTTCTTGAGTTTCTTGACTGGTTTGGAGCCAAAGGAGGCCATTGGAGCACCATTGTTGAAGAGGACTACAAGGGTAAGAAACTAGTCCCTTTTTCCCCCATTTTTGCATTGATTTTACACCTATCTTAGAGCTGTTTTTGTGCTTATTGTATAACATAAAAAAGTTCTATTTTTAAGCCCTCTTTATTGTTTATTAAGAGTGTTTTGTTGTTTGAGGGTTGTTGACCACCCTTAGGCCTCAAAAGGCCTCATTTTGAGCCATTTTGTGCTAGCTCCGGGATTTTGGTGTTGAGGTCTCTTCACCACTGAAATCTTGAGGGATTTCAATGGTGAAGATGATGCTTTGAAGTCCCAAGAAGGAGAGGGCCACCCCCTCTCCTTGTTGTCCTTGAAAAAAAAAAGAAAAAAGCCCCCCCCCCCCAAAAAAAAAAAAAAAAAACATTGTTTTTTCTGATGTACCGAAAAAAATAAATAAAAATCATTGTAAAATTATTGCAAAGGATCATAGTCCATGATCAATCACACCTAAAAGCATACTGTTGGGAATCTGCTTTAAAAGTTATATTTTTTAAAAATGTAAAAAAAAAAAAATTAAAAAAGTTATAATTGACTTATCCATCAACAAATTTTTTTTTTAAATGCTGCTTAAATATTAATTATTATTTTTATTTTTTTATGAAAGCCAAAACTTCTAGAACTTTTGAAAATTACATCTCGTATTTGATCAATTATTTGATACTCTTGAGACACCACATAACGATACTTTGGCAGGGGAAGATACAAAGATAATGCACTAAATTCTTATCCTCCCAATTTATGTTGATTGTACCACTCTGGTTGGTTTTACTTCATTATTCTAGTTTCATTATTTAAGTGTTTTTTGGGATGAATTTTCTGGTCCACTATCTCGGTTGGGATTAAACCCAGTTACAGAGGGATCATATTTTGAATAATCTCAATCTATCATTACACTTTTTATGTTTCAATTTTTGTATTTTAGCATAAGTCTTGAACATCATATTAGGAGAATTTGGTATTTGTTGATTTTGTCTACATAATATTTGCTCTTTTGATATGGACATATACCATATATTAGTGGGAATGAAAATCATTTCTATTAGACTAATTTTGGACGCAGATCGCGTAGTTGATTATTCTCAATGGATACAATTCGTTCACAATCAAAAGAATTGGTTCGATTAAAAAAATTACAACTGTAGTACTTAACTTTCATTTGGGATGTAGGTTGACTTTTTAATTTTTTAATTTTTTGACTATTTTAACCTGTGGATTAAAAGTCTCATTTGGGATAAACTTTTTGTCTTTTTTGACTTTTGTAAGAGAAAAAATAAAATGATTATAGTTTGGATGTGATGTTTTATTTTATTGAAGTAAAAAACTTATTTTGTTTTGTGTCTATTTTAACCCAAACATAGCACGTCAAACACAGCCTCAATATTCCTGATATCACTTCACGCGACCAATACCAATTCATTTCCTGAAACTTAGCCATTAAGAATTGTGCTCTAATGTTTTCTTATAGTCTCTTTCTGTTATGCCCTGCTTTTCGTGCTTGCCAAACAGAGAACGTAGAAATTTCCTGTGGAAGCTTGGGAAAAGTATACCCTGTTGTAGAATTGAATTGACTAGTGTGGAACGAACACCACTGACCTTGTCAAAGGCCAATTTCAACAAGCAACCTATCATTGTCAATGACTTAAAATATTCAACAATGTACTGCACAATGTTTGAAACACAGAGCACTCATAGATACACAGCACTTACAAAACAAAGTTCTATATATATACAATGGCTTAATCTGATTGATCAAAAATAATTCAAGCCACATACTGAGAGTTGAAGCAAGATTGAAACATATTCCCCCAAGTCCCTCATGTCTGTGCACTCATCCTCCATAGATAAAGTTGCCGCCAACGATGACATCTTAACCCAAATCCTGATAAAGTTACCAGTAAAATCACTCATGCGATTCAAGTCTGTATCCAAACACTGGCTTTCTCTCATCACCAATCCCTACTTCGCACATTGTCGGAATCCCAACTCCAGCTCTGTCTCCGGCCTATTCTTCTACTCATCCATGAGACGCCGCAACGCAGAACTCAATTTCATCCCTCTTCAAAACAATGAAATCCTGAGCGATGACAATGATTATGTCTACTTGACACCTTTAACAACAATTCCAAGCCTATCAGGTAAAGGGATTTTGAGCTCATGCCATGGATTATTATGTTGTTCTAGCTATTCCAACCTTGAAGGAGGCGACTATCAATTTCGCTATCATATCCTCAATCCTACCACCAAGCAATTCAAGTCGCTTCCTCAACCCCGTGATGGCCATAAAGGTTTGAATTTAGTTTTTGACCCGTCAAGATCACCTCACTACAAAGTGGTCTGCGTTTGGCACGTTGATCACGTTGATTCAGTTTTGTCAGTTGATTATGATCGAAACAAGCATTGTTATCAGATTGAGATTTACTCATCGGAGACTGGGTCTTGGAGGGCATGTGCTGAACCTTTCACAGCTAATCAAAATTCTGAATTTCTTGGCGGGGTCTACTGGAATGGCGCGATTAACTGGATCAGCACATCGGGGGACTCATTATATTTCAACGTGGAGGAGGAGTGCATTGGAACTATTCCAATGCCTCCAATTCCTTATGGGGATTGGAAAGGGAGGCCATTTAGGTATTACGGGGAGTCGAATGAACATTTGCATCTCGTTATAATATACGGTCCAAGGATTCAATTTGATGTTTACGAGATGGAGAGAGATTACTCTGGGTGGTTTGTGAAGTATTGTGTCGATCTTGGTTCAGTTGGAGCTGCGTTTCCCCAGATGATGCAAAGGCTCTCGTGGGATCCAATGTATTACTCGTTTGCTATACTTTCACTTGTACGAGAGGAAAAAGACGATGAGGACTCATTTCTGGTGTTGCATGTACCGGGTAAGATTTTACGGTACAATCTTGGAGATAAGAGTTTTGAGAAGATATGTGATGTTCGTGACGAGCATTGTGATGGTAATGGCATGATTGAGGATTCTTTGATGTATTTTTGGTTTCATTCCTTCCAATACATTGAGTTTGTCTCTTGTATCTGAATGTGGTTTTTTACTTTAAATCAATGAATTAATTCACTTCTTGAATTCTCATTTTGTAGTTTCTGGTATTAAAAATTGATTGTGTTTGTTGCTGTAATGCGATAATATACATCGTTTGGTATTTAATGTGATAATCATGGCAATTATTCGAAGCCACTTATATTTGAAGAGAATTTAAACAGTTTTGATCTAATTCAAAATTTCACTTTATATAAGAGAATAAATATTCTCAATAGCATCTTCTACATCAACAAAGTGGGTAGTCTGGAAAGCAAATAATCTGACAAGATGAACAATTCTTCCTCATGTTTACAAAACCAAGCATTGTTTAACAGAAATGATCTGAAAGTTTGAATTGAGTCTTTTTTTAAACTATTTCATTGGTATCATTTTTGTTGTTTTTATTATTTTGTTTCTTACATCATTGTTTTTTTTTTTTAAACCCCATAACAGCCTACTTGTAAATTTTGTTGTTCCCCTTACTGGTAAGAGCGCGATGTTATGATTGTGAGAAGATGCCCTCATCATCAAGTAGTTTGGATTTTTTTTTTGTTTGTGTACAAATTACAATAAATAGATTATGCAAGTTAAAGCCTAGTTCTAATATAACTCTAATTCTGATTCTTCTTGTTTCTATCACAAAGATTATATAGCGTGGGGCTTTTTTGGTATCAGAGCCATAACTGTTTTAGATTTGATTTGAATTTCTTGTACAGTCTTTAATTAACCTGTGTGACACCCAAGTCACAGAAGTTAGTAAACAGTCTTTAGATAGAAGGCCATCAATGAGCATTAGAGCTTAGGCTGAACCACTTGTTAACAATCACAGTTAATTATTGTTATGGCTAACTATTCAAGTCATTCTCTAATTTAAGGTAGTTAGTGAAAGTTCCTCTAAGATTGAATTGAGTCATTTAAAATTACAATAAATAGATTACGCAAGTTATTGCAAGGTTGTAATGCCCCAAAATCTGAAACTATAAACTATCCAATACGGCAGAGATGTACATATAATATTCAACTCAAATTCCCAACAAATACCAAAGTTTCTCTTTCTCATTGAACTATAATTTCAAGGTTACAAAATACATATTCAAGCATTCACAATTCAAGAAGATGGAAAAAGTTTAACAAATGCCCACAATGTACAATATTAAATACATGGTCTTCAATGAACAAAAGGGGGCCATGATCTCCAAACTAAGTAAAAGTTCAACAATTACAATACAAATTCAAAATATCATTGAATTTTTAAACAAGAGAGTTGGGCAGTTTCTTCTTCATTGGGCTAGTTGCGGTTTAGCAAGTCTTGAAATTTGTTAGATATGAATGAGCAATTACCCAGTAAAGAATATATTTAACCACGTATATAAACATTTGATTTAAATTATGCATAACCATGTTCCTTTACATATGGACATTAATTTCTCAACCTCATAACCCAATATACATCATTTCACTTAACTCCACTTTTCTTCGTCCTGGCACAGATGGGCAGTGGGCACCTCAAACCTTCCACATTTATCGTTATCACACGATTGGGAACATGGACACCTCAAACATTCTCACAGTTGTTGTCCTCACACGATCGGGCAAGTGGCCATGTCAATTTCCCTGCGCGGGTAAACCATATCACACAACAAGCAACAATTCAAAATCAAATTTCATCTCAACAATTAACCGATTTACCCATTAATTCCTTTCTTATTACTCAGTAAGACCTAGGAACAACAATTTTAGATTTCACAAGAAATTTAGGAGTTTTCTTTCCATTCTTTAATTTTCCAAGATTATTGATGCACACATTATTTTTAACTAAGAAATAACTAAATCTCCCACAAATCTTAGAACAAAACTTGCTATCACCATTAGTGTTTACATATATATATATATATGTATGTATATATATCACCCATTCCAAATCACACCGTCATATCATGAGATTAATACATATTCAAACCAAAATACAGATATACATTGGTAAAAATATTTTTACATCAAGGTTGTGAGAGGAGAGAAGAGATGAAGACTCAAGGAGTGAGCTAGGAAAATAACACGATCCAATCGATTCAATGTGTAGCTTACGGCGAGATTAACAACTTTGATAAAAGGACAAAGGATGGATTCTTGGTAAAAAAACATAAAATAAACGAAATCAAGGTTTGGAGATATATATGGTTTCGGGTATGGAGGAGAGTGTAGACACTTAAATTTTCACGTGTCTTGATCACTGTCTAATTAATCAAGGAAAATAAATTTTCTTTGATTGGTCAAAATTTTCGAATGGGTATGGGTCTTACTAAAATTATGGATCTTAACCCATTTTAAATTATGGGTCACACCAAAAGAAATTATTTTGACAATTGGGTCAACCCAAAAGTATAGGGCCCATGAAGATATTTTTATCAAAATTTAGTGGAATAATTCAAATTTAAATTTAAATTTAAATTTGATTGCAAATCATGTCCGTAAATCAAGAAGTAAATTGCTTGTTTCTTGGAAATTGGAGTCAATTTTGAAGTTTCCAAAATTAATCCTCCCTTCCTAAGCCTATAAATAGAGGCTCTCAATAGAGGGAGAGACACATTTCTTTGGCTAATGGTCTTGCAAGCTCTTAAGCAATCTCGAGACTCTGCTAAATTCTCTTCTTAAAATTCTCTCTAAAATTCCTCAAACTCAAAATGAATGGATTATCAAGCACTCTAAACTTATGCCAATCCTTTCAAGTTACAAACACAAATTTGGTCTCTCTTTTCAAGGAGATCATTTGAAGACTCATTTGAGATCAAGCCATTCAAGCCCTCGATCAAGCCTTTCTTCTCTAAGTTTCTCCATTCGAAGACTTGAAGAAATTCATCAACTTGTCTAGTTAAACAACAAGCTTTTACAACCGTTGAATTGCGCCCATTTCGGAGATCGAATCAAAGAAGCCAATCTTTTGTAATAGAGCAAACTACAGAGGATTGTACCCATTTATTATAATCAATAAAATTACTTATTTGTACATTTATTTCGCGTCTTAATTACAGGATATGAAATTTGTGTTTACAAATTTTGGCACGCCCAGTGGGACCTCTCTGCCTCTCATCTCTTTCTTCTAAAGCATCTTTCTGAAATCTTGTTTGATCAAGCATAATGGCTTCAAAGAAAGTTCAAATTGCTCCAATCAATAAGAACGCCAGCAAGAATGCTGCTGTCATGACTAACAACAATAGCACTTCTACGAGTCTGATCACCCGTAGCAAGACCAAGGCAACCATTGCTCTCGCCACTCACAGGGTCATGCTGACCGCCAAAGAAACAAAGCAAGCGCAAGGCAAGTCTCACAAATCTATCATAGTATCCATGTCTAGGGCTAAGCAAAAAGAAGTGAGGGAATGGAAGAAGTCCACTTCTGTCTCAAAGGATTCTCTACCAGAAGGTGTCTCTCCACACCTAACATCCTTAGCTTCTGATGCAAACTCAACTATAGGCTCACACTTAGGATCATCTCCTAGTAGTCCTCAATGTTTAATTTCATTGAATCACTTAGATTTGTCTCGCTCAGTGGCTATACAAGTCATGACCACTGGCACCACTTCAGTGGAAGAACAATTGGCGACCATGGCTCGTGCCACTGACAAGCTCACCAAAATTGTGGAAGAGAAAGATCTTTAGATTGCCACCTTGATGAACAAGTAAGAAGCATGAAATGATGATGAAGCAAGTCAAGACAATTCTTATCAACCTGGCTTGACACTACAAGGCACGTTTGTTGAGAAGGTGAACCCTGCGTATAAGTCCAATCAAGTTGTTGGTGAGGAAACTTGCCATACATCTGTTGCGTGGCAAGTGATTGGCACAAGTAGTCAACCAACATCCATTGCTTCTTTGTCTATTCAATAACTCCAAGACATGATTGCAAATACCATCCGAGCACAATACGGTGGGCTCTCGCAAAGCACTTTCATTACTCCAAGCCTTACACAAAGAGGATAGACATTCTCAGAATGCCTACCAACCTCCCAAGTTCTAGCAGTTCGATGGAAAAGGTAATCCTAAACAACATGTCGCTCACTTTGTCGAAACTTGCAACAATGCCGGGACAGACGGAGATCTACTTGTCAAACAATTTGTTCAGTCACTCAAAGGAAATGCCTTTGATTGGTATATTGATTTGGAGGTTGAGTCAATCGATAGTTGGGAGCAAATAGAACATGAATTCCTTAATCATTTCTATAGCACCCATCATATGGTAAGCATGATGAAATTAACCAGTACCAAGCAATGGAAGGAGAAGCCCGTGGTAGACTACATCAATCGTTGGTGTGCTCTAAGTCTAGATTGCAAAGACCGACTCTCTGAGATCTCAGCTATGGAGATGTGCATGCAAGGCATGCATTGAGGACTCCTTTATATCCTTGAAGGGATAAAACCACGAACATATGAAGAGTTAGCTACATGTTCGCATGACATGGAAATTAGCATAGCCAACCATGGCGGGAAATACCTTCCCATTCTTGAACAAAGGAAAGATAACAAAGAAGTGAAAAAAGGAGGCAAGCCTTCAAAGGTACCACCAAAGAAACAATGTTAGTAACCATAGCTCCAATCAAGATTTCAACGAAAGACAAGAAGAAAGAAGAAAGAAGAAAGAAGAAAGAAGAAAGGAAGGAAACACGCCATCTCTGAAAGAACTACAAGAAAAGAAGTATCCCTTTCCTGATTCTAACGTACCGGGGATGTTAGAAGATTTACTTGAAAAGAAAGTTATTCAACTCCCTGAGTGCAAACATTCTGAAGAAACAGGTTGTGTGAAGGATTCGAAGTACTGCCACTATCATTAGATAGTTAGTCATCCTACTAAAAAATTCTTCGTGTTAAAGGAATTACTCGTGGACTTGGCCAGAAAGAACAAAATCCTCTTGGACCTTGACGAATCGGCAGAATCCAACCATGCAATGGTTATTGTAGGACCTCCAAATTCTCCATCCTCAAAATCCAAGACAGAAGTGTCACAA